ATCGGGTGCCTTTCCTCTTTCCGTTTGCGTTTGTCATTTTGATTAATTAGCGACTCCCAGAAGGATCATCTTTTAACTATAAAGAGTGTCCTCACCTTGAACAAGGCATTTCTCTGCATGTATTTATATATCTTCTGATTTCTTTCAGTTGGTTCAAGGTTTGGTGAATGTATATTTGCATGAGTTCTGTTAGACTTCTTGATTCTGGGAATGCATGCATATGCGCTTGGTGTGTCTCCAGTGGTCAAGATCAGGACTCAAACTGTGTGGTTGACCATATGGAATTCACCTGTCTTGTTTTGCTTTTGTTTGTTTTTGGCTGTGGCATGCACGAGCTAACTGGAGAGGCAGAGAGACAGGGAGACAGGAAGCAGGGAATCATCACCTACCCCAGGGGGCATAGCTATGCCCACCATCCTTTCCTCTCTTCTTCTGTTGGGATTCTGGGCACTCATAAATACGTTCCCGACTTGAGTCATAGGTCACCCAGTCAGGGACTCAAAGCATGCTTGACTATGTGGAAGTCCGGCAACATATCCATTACACTATCTGCTGGTCCCCTTGGTCACACATTCTGTTTGTCTTCTTTCTTCTTTTGAATATGGTATTTGCAGTGCCAGATGCTCAATGATACTCTTTTAGTACCGAGAGGTATGCACAGAAACAAAGACAAGGCATTTTTGGGGGCCAGCAGGGTGGCCGGCCTGGTGGTTAAGGGTGCTGGACTCCTACATGGCGGACTGCAGTTCAAATCCTAGACCTTGTGGCTTGTTTTATTGCCTTCTCTCTTTGTCTCTTCCTCTCTTGGCAAATTACAATGAACACACAAACTAATAAATAAACCAATAAACAAAATGAAAGAAAACAATTCATGGAAAAAAATTTTAAAAAAGAAAAGGTATGTTTGGAATAATCAATCCAGTCCCAACTTATCATCGGAATGTTAATTGATTATGATTGTTTTACAGAGTCTTTGTCTTGACGATGTTTGACAAGGCATTGGTATCATCTCCACAATGTGACTTCACTGCCATATCATCAACTCTGGCCTTGCTTGACCTCAGCTGGCAGTGTCCTGCCTGGATCAGCCAGTGAGCTAGAGTCACAGAGACCCTTCCTCAGTCCAGTGGTGTCACCTTGCAGTTCTCGTGACAGTGACCTCAGGCAGCTGTACCCAGAGCACCCTGGTCCTCCCTTCGATCCCGGGAGTCTTCCTGGCATAGGCCAAGGGAGACTTGGCAGGTGGTAATGAATAAGGCTCAGCCTACAGAGACCCCCACAGACGGTAAAGGGAGATGGGCCTCACTTCCTCAGTGAGGCTCGCCCTTCACTGCCCTCACCCGATGGCCAGCAGGTGGGTTCTGGACACCAGCTGTCCGTTTAGCCGCCTCCAGCCTCACCCTGTTGGCCAAAAGGGGGTGCTAAGCCTCAGCTAACCGGCGAGCCTCCTCCCACAGGGTCTGAGACCACCAGCAGGGCATCCAGAGCCACCTTTTGCTCCAGGAAACCATGGCTCCTACTTCCTCCCAGTCAGCAACTTGGCAAGCACAGGGGCTTCTCGGCACCCACCAGAGGGCACCACCTGGCCTAGGGTAACCAGCTGCTGTCTGGTGAGTAGCCAACACCTTCCCACCTCGGCCCAGTACTCAGCAGCACCCCGTAGGCAGAGGGAGAGAGGAGGCTCGGGCAGCAGGACCAGAACCGCGTGTCTGGGTGTGTGAGTCTCAGGGATGACAGGATCATGTGGCCTCACCCTCCCCATTCTAGCAGGGTTTGGAGCAGTCTGTGTCTCCCACAGGTGGGAGATACTTGGTGCTCGAATGTAGGGTGTTACGAAATACTGAGAAGAGAGATGGAGAAGTGAGAGCAGAGGGCTGAAGCTCCCTTGGAGCAGAATCCAAACTGGCCTAGAGCAGAGCCCATTTATTCCCAACGAAATTGGAGAAGCGACTGGTGAGTTTAGCTATAAAGGATAAGGGGAGAGCTACATGATGTTCTTTGTAGGTTCTGTGCACTAGGTCGATAGCTAGCACACACTCGGTAGTCAGAGGACACATGGGATTGCGGAATGTCATCCAACATCCTGAGACATGGCCCATGCCCGGAGCCCCATCCGGCTGACCGTGCGGTCCCTGTGGCCTTCTATCTGGAAATGGGGTTGCTTTCAACTCCCTCCCAAGTGCTTCCCTTCTGGCCGTCTCTCAGGCCCGGGCTGGCTTCTGTCTCCAATGTGCAGATGCTCTGGGGAGCCCTCCCACTCCCCATCCCCAGTCCCCTGGTGCACCTTGTAGGTGACATAGGATCGATGTCCTGGGATGCGAGGAGGCCTGCTGGTCTCCTTGGTGGCAGAACACACTCTGAGCTGTGTGCATTGTGGTGTTTGCATCGAGGCCAGGGTGTTGAGGACCAGAGCCTATCGCTTCACTGGCCGATGTGTCTGAGGTCTGGCCGCAGGTACTTAGTGCTCTGCCGTCTGAGGCCAGACTGGCCCATTTACAATAAAGCATCATTTTTCCTCAGGTCTTGAGGTGGTGATCCCTGGTGTCAGTGGAGGAGGCACAGTTCCAAGAAGCTGCAGGTTTGCCCCAAGCCCTTCGTGGGACGAGTCTTTCCTCTGTGGAATTGGTAATTCGGTAAGTTGTTTTTCCTTTCTTTTGTTGTTATGTAAATTCATACACTGTACATGTCACCGTGCTAACCTTTGGTAAGGATGCGACTCCTTGGACTTGACCGCATCAGCGCCATCAGACAGCCATGTCTAGGTCAGAGCTTTTGATTGACCTGAAAGGAAATTTGGCAACATCAGGGAGTCTCTTTCCCACCCCTGGCCACGGACTGCGAATCTGCTTACTCTCCCTGGATCCGCCTGTCCTGGACGGGCCACATGAATGGACCATCACACACCCTGTGGCCTTTGGTCTCCTGCCTCCCTCACGTCTGTCATCTCTGTGGCTCGTGAACCACGCTGTGCCATGCCCCGATACCTGGCTCATGTGATGTCTCTCATCACATGGGCAGGAGTGGGTTCTTACCGTTTAGATCTTTTGTCCGTCTGGGGGAGAGAGACGTGGGAGCAGCTTCGGTGGTGCGGCACTTTTCCCTGGGGGTGGGGGGATTTCTCAGCATTTCCACCTCTCTGGTGACCAGGTGCCACCTGTGGCAAAAGTGGAAAAAAGTTCTGCATACCCATAGTATGCTGTTGTGTTTACAAATCCGGGGTAAGGGGAGCCCACTAGGAGACCCCGAGACATACCGGCCAGAGGCGCCGGGGGTGCCCAGTTTGACCGTGCGAAGTCCATGTGTACAAACTGTCTGTGATGTGATAGGAGAAGCCGGAGTTGTTATCGGACATGGGTGGTGACTGTGACTGCATCACTGTCAGTCATTTTCAGCGTGGCGACAGTACGGTGGCAACGTCTGTTTCTCTTCCTGTCGCCTGCCGTAGATGTCTCACTGACACCTGGGCCATGCAGGAAACCCCTCCTGCGGGGTCTCTCGGGTAACAGTGGCCTGTCACGGGGAGCCTGTCCCCGAAGCTCAAGAACCGTACCTCTCGGCGGCCTCTGAAGGGAAGATGTGCGGACGTGGTGCAGGATGACTTGTAGGCCCCCTAGAAGTCCCCCCGGGGTGCAGGGTGCCCGTCTGGAGTTCCCAGAGGTTTCTGTGAGGCTGGTGGGTTCAGAGTGAGGCAGGAGAACAGCCATCTCAGAGGCTTCTGGGAGGAAGGCCTCCGGGCCTTGCATCAGACTCCATTTCCCAGTGGTCACCAGGAAGTAGATTCCCAGGTGGAGTGATGGACCACATCTCCCACAGGCCTCTGGGATATGGCAGTTCTTGGGTCCTAGCGTCCGAGTACAAGATGAGATCTCTCCCACCCCTAGAGTTAAGCGTGTAGAGCCAGACTACATTTCCCTTGGTCCTCTGGGTGGAAGGCGTCCTGGATTAGTGGGCTGGTGGGACCTCTGGTTGTAGCTTCAGACTACAGTACCCATAGATCTTGGCGGGGGGAGGAAGGACTTCTGGTTGTGGCACCATACTACATCACCCACAGGCTCTGGAAGGCAGACTTCTGGCAGCACTTCAGACTACAAATACGCACAGGCCCCCGGGAGCAAGACTTCTGGCTGTTGGGCCAGAACACACCCTTCCCCGATGACTCGACTCGGTGTTCCCTACTAAAGTTACCCTGGCGTGCCCACAGTACCAGGGACATGGATTTCTGGACCTATCCCAGAGGCATCCTCTGCTCACTCATCTGTGCGCAAGCAGGAAACGTTCACCGTGATCTGGGCATAGTTAGGACCCCGCACTCTCCAGCATCTCCACATGTGAAAAATAAATGGTGGAAGCTGTTTGGGGAGACTTGTGTAACAGAGTTTGCCCCATTCCTGAGGTGAGAACATTGGCATGAACACGAATGAACACAGGCACCGTGGACACAGCCGTGGTGTAGGGTGGCCTTCCTGAAGGAGATGCTTAGCCCTAAGGACTCACAAGCCAGGAGCAGACCACCTCGCAGATCTGTCGTCCTGCGTCCCGCTCCCATCGGGGTCTTTGTCTGTGTCCTGCACCCTACATGATCAGAGCAGAATATGCAACCTCGGAGCCCTCATCTCTGGCCACAGTTACTTAAGGTAGAGGCGTTGCAAATGCAAACCTTTAATTAGGCCGGGTCTCTGCCAGGCACTGCCAAGGGGCTTGGATGCGTGCTGAAGTCGAGGCTGGGAGATGCCCACTGTGGCCGCTCCAGTCTGCCCCACTCAGACTGAGGGAGAGGTCTGGGGGCAGGGAGGGCACAGAATTCGTCCAGTGCCACTTTGCCTTTTAAAGAACAGTCTTTTCTGATTGGCTATTTGTCCTTAGAAAGGCGTGTTTCTACTTCTTTCTCCCAAACTATGCCATCTGTCCCTTCTCACAGTCCCTCATGAGGAAAAGCCAGTCTTTAAAGTGTTCACAGAAAATGCATGTTATGAAAAATTACCCATTAAAATAAAACCATACTTTAATTCTGCTTTTCCACAAAGTTTTAAAGTCCCCTCATGGGACTCTGACTTCTTAGAAACCCTAACAGTTTAAGTGACTACAGACAGAAATCCTTTTGACTCACCCAACCAAAGTACAGAAAACTACAGTGTGTTATGCTTAATATTTGTGTTTGTTTAATTTTTCTATAAATTCGATTTTTTTCATTTCACTCTAAAAATATTTTATAGTATTTTAAAATAAAACTTGGAAAATAATTATTAAGTGCTTGGTAAAGTACCTTTTTTAAAAATGAGAAATGAATTGAGTACCTTTCAACAGGGCTAAATTTGAGCTCCTATTGTAAATCAACTTTTTTACTTTATCAATTAGCAGCAAGCACTTTTATTTACCACTGTGCAAGCCGGAGTGTGAGCGCCCCTTGTTAAACAGAAAGCTCGCATTTTACTCTGTCTCGTCTACTTTGTTCTGTTAGTGTTCACGGCAGAGGACTCCAGACAGAAATAGCAGAAAAGCTCAATGCGAGGAGAAAGAGACAAGAGAAACTGGATTAAAGTATGAGTTTATTTTGATAAAAAAAAATTTAGAAATGCATATGCTTTTAAGTTTTTCACAGTACATATTTTCCATGAACTTTGTGAAGACCCTTTTATCTCTTGGTCCCCACTACTACTCAGCACAGCAGCCTCACTGGGCATTGCATTTGAATAGTTCCCCCTTAATCAGCGTGAAATAGAAATGCCTGACCTAATGTCAGTGTTGAAGAGCAATGAAACTTTGGGGATATCCTTGAGAGAATCAGCTGAGAGGTTTCAGAGGAGACAGTTTGGTGTCGCTTTCTCCCTGGTAACCCAGCCCCTCTCTTAAGAGCCCACATGTGAGTCAGGCTGATACTGTCCTCACTTCACGAAGTGGTGACACCTAAACCTCCTGCTGAGATGTCTACACAGACCACGTCTGCTCACTGCTATCAATTTCCACCTCCTTTCCACTTGCAAATGCTCAATATTTTTGCCAAAAGTGCTGATACAGTCTCTGTTATGACAGGAAGTTTACATTGGAGGTAGCACAGAAATGAATCACACATTTCTGTGGATGTCCAGGGCCAGGGCAATTTATCTGGTATGTATTTATGAAACAAAACCATGAGGATTTGGTATAAGCATACATAGTTATGTACAAAGTTTAATAATGGGACCAGCAGATGG